ATGGAATAATTAACGTCGTCTTATTGAGTCTATTAGTTTTAAGTTTATTTTTGTCTTTTTTTTCTTGCGTTAGAACTTTTTTTTTCCACTATAAATTCAGTTGATGAGCGATGAGGATTTGGGAGAAAAAAAAAGACACTCAATTGGTAATAATATAAATCTTGAAGAAATCAAAAAAAGACTATGATTGGAACAGGAAACGGCAACGTATTCACCAGAGGAATGGAGGGACGGAGGAAGGAAGTAAGGTGAGGGGTGTATTTATCACGAAAATTCATTGAAGTTTTGTTGTTTTTGTTCTTTTTTTTGATTTCACTTTTGAAATTTTCTTTCCTTTTTTCTATTGGGAAATTCTGTTTTCTGAAGTATATTTTTTGTCTTATAAAAATGTACTGGTTTTTTTCCTTTATTTTTTAGCTTTTTTCTTTTCACTGTTCATATTTTTGATGAAAGCTCTATCCAAGAAGCTACAGATTGGATGGGCAGACAAATGACTGGGTGATTAGAAAAATTAGACTAGTAAATGAGTGGATGTTAATAATGGTTACTATATAACGATTACAATGGTGAGAAAACAGTATTATATCAGTATTATATCAAAAATTCAGTATTGCAATTTTAAATTCATACGATATGAAAATTGAGACATACAGATAAATTTTTAAAGACACGTTCTTCAATAGGACTAATCGCCACATAACAACAGTCTTCCATACCATTAACAATCGACTATTATCATTGCTAATAGATGAGACATTATTTGAAAAAAGAAATTTTTTTTCGTCGTCAACAGTTTCGCTTTACAAAAAAAAAAAAAAGAGGGAAAAAAAACACATCTGAGATAATAATTGATAGAAGAACAAACGAAAAAAAAAAGCAGACTAAAGAAATTAATCTTTTGAAACTAAATTATTGAAATGGAACAAAAATTTTGAGTAGCATTGTAATCATCAAAAAAAAAAAAAAAAAACTAATGCAGTTAATCGACTACAGTAAAGGTGTGAATTATTTTGAACAAATAATTTCTTATATTATTTGACATTCTAAAAAACTTTCCAAATAAATGTACATTTGCAGCCGTTGTTTCATTTTTTTTTTCTCCTACTCTCATTTCTCTATTATTATTATTATTATTATTATTATT